TGTCGGCTGCAGCGGCGGGGCCGGCAGATCGGTAAGGGCGGAACGGGGACGGGGAAGCGGGAAGGGGAAAAGGGGAGGAAGAGAGGGTTCCGGTGACGGGTCAGTGATGGTTCATGATGGATCAGTGATGGGCTCAATGATGGTTCGTGACGGGTCAGTGACGGATCGATGATGGGGTCAGTGGTGGGGTCAGTGATAGGTCATGATGGGTCAGTGATGGGTCAGCGATGGTTTGGGGTCCGTGTGTTCGGGAGGTGCAGCCGTGCAGTGGTGGCAGTGTTGGGCTGGGTTCAGGTCGTTCAGGTTTGTGCATGGTGTGGTTTAGAGTGATGTGGGGGGTCACAGGCGGGGTGGGCGCTCTGTGCAGGGGTGCAGTCTGGTTTGGGTGCTGGGCGGGGGAGGAGATGTGGGGCCCTGGACAGACGTGTCATTCACACTGGGGAAGCAGAACCAGGCGCTGCGGTTGGCCATGAGCCTGAGCTGTTTCCTGCCGCGCTGCTGCGCAGGCACCGAAGGCAGGGGAGCCAGCAGCAGCAGGCAGGGTGAGTGCGAGCAGGGTGAGCAGCAGGCAGGGTGAGTTGCAGGCAGGGTGGGCAGCCCTGTGCCCCTGGGGAGGGGCTGGAGAGGGGCAAGCATGGGGGGGAAACTGGGTACCAGGGTGGGCAAAGCTTGGTAGGGCATCGCAGGCAGAAGGAGGCAGGACGGCAGGCCTGACCTCCCCCCACCCCGAGTGCAGAGGGGTGCTGGCAGGGTCCCAGCGTGTGTTTGCTGGGGAGACAGAAAGAAGACCTTTACCAGCCTGGGGATGCTGGTGGGGCCTTGGGCACTGCCTAGCCTCCAAAGTTGGGGAGTGCAGGCTGGGCTGGGAGACAGGGGTCTTGGAGCTGAGGGGGTGGCTCTGGGGGGCACCCCGAGGGTGTGGGGGGCAGGGCTGGCCCTCCACCCTTTAGAGGGGAAGACGGAGCAGTTTGCTTAACCCCAGCTGGTAAGCCAACGCGGCAGTTCCTCCTGCCTGCGGCTTCTCCTTCGCAAGAGGAACAGCTGCTGGGCCAGAAGAGGGCCCCACTGCTCACCAGTTGTGGCAGGGGCTTCTGGCCCCTTGGAGGCCAGCAGGGCCCCCCCGAGCCCCCGCACTGGTGTGGGATGGCTGGGGGCCGCGTCGCCGCATGGGGCCGGAGGTTTTTTTGGGTACCAGGCTGGGCAAAGCTTGGTAGGGCATCGCAGGCAGAAGGAGGCAGGACGGCAGGCCTGACCTCCCCCCACCCCGAGTGCAGAGGGGTGCTGGCAGGGTCCCAGCGTGTGTTTGCTGGGGAGACAGAAAGAAGACCTTTACCAGCCTGGGGATGCTGGTGGGGCCTTGGGCACTGCCTAGCCTCCAAAGTTGGGGAGTGCAGGCTGGGCTGGGAGACAGGGGTCTTGGAGCTGAGGGGGTGGCTCTGGGGGGCACCCCGAGGGTGTGGGGGGCAGGGCTGGCCCTCCACCCTCTAGAGGGGCAGACGGAGCAGTTTGCTTAACCCCAGCTGGTAAGCCAACGCGGCAGTTCCTCCTGCCTGCGGCTTCTCCGTCGCAAGAGGAACAGCTGCTGGGCCAGCAGAGGGCCCCACTGATCACCAGGTGTGGCAGTTTCTGGGAGGCCAGCGGGCCCCCCCCGAGCCCCCGCACTGGTGTGGAATGGCTGGGGTCTGCTCAGCTGCATGGTGCTGCAGCCCTCTCACAGGTTGGGGACACGTGTGTGACGAGCTGGCTGGTCTCGGGCAGGTGCCCAGGTGGCAAGAGCTGGTGGCAGGTCTGGGGAGGGGGGCAAGGCCAGCCCTGTGCCTTCTGCCCTGCCCCTCTGCTGGCTCAGCAGTGCCAGACCTGCTTGCAAGTTTCACAGCATGGACACATGGAGCCAGCACCATATCCCGCTTCCCCACCATGGTGCTATTGTTTCACCTTGGACCTGCTGCTAACCCCCATGAACCCATCCAGCCATGCCACTGGGGCGCCGCGCCTGTGCTGGGATGGGGGGACACACACGGTCTGTCCCTCACCGCCTCTGAGCTGTCGCTTGCTTGGTCTCCCATCAGTGAGAAGAATGGGCTCTGTGTCGGAGGAGCTCAGCCTGGTCCCTCTGCACCGGAGGCCGGAGCTGCTGGAGGCCTGTGCCAAGCTGCTGGGCGAGGAGTGGGGGAAGAGCCGGGCGTCACGGCTCCACACGCTCCAACGCTCCTCGGACGCCTTCCCCATCTGCCTGGTGCTGCTGCGAAGCCAGGGCCCCACCGAGGCCTCCGCTGCCCAGGAGGGTCCCTGCCAGCTCGTGGGCCACGTCCGGCTCTCCCGTGTGGCTGG